GGCTGGTGTGCGATGGTGTAGTGTCACCCTGCACTTGTGAGGGCTGGTGTGCAATAGTGTAGTGTCACCCTGCGCTCGTGAGTGAAGGCTGGTGTGCGATGCTGTAGCATCACACCCTGCGCTCGTGAGTGAAGAAGGCAGGTGTGTGATGGTGTAGCATCACCCTTTGCTCATGAGGGCTGGTGTGCGATGGTGTGTCACCCTGCACTCGTGAGTGAAGGCTGGTGTGTGATGGTGTAGCGTCATCCTGTGCTCGTGAGGGCTGGTGTGATGGTGTAGCATCACCCTGCGCTCGTGAGGGCTGGTGTGCGATGGTGTAGCGTCACCCTGCGCTCGTGAGGGCTGGTGTGCAGTGCTGTAGTGTCACCCTGTGCTAAGTGAAGGCTGATGTGCGACAGTGTAGCATCACCCTGTGCTCGTGAGTGAAGGCTGGTGTGCAACGGTGTAGCGTCACCTTGCGCTTGAAGGCTGGTGTGCGACAGTGTAGTGTCACCCTGTGCTTGTGAGGTGAAGGCTGGTGTGCGATGGTGTAGTGTCACCCTGTGCTCGTGAGTGAAGGCTGGTGTATGACAGTGTAGTGTCACCCTGTGCTTGTGAGGGCTGGTGTGTGATGTAGCGTCATGAGTGAAGGCTGGTATGCGATGGTGTAGTGTCACCCTGCGCTCATGAGTGAAGGCTGGTGATAGCGTAGCATCACCCTGCGCTCGTGAGGGCTGGTGTGCAATGGTGTAGCGTCACCCTGTGCTGAGGGCTGGTGTGCAATGGTGTAGCATCACCCTGTGCTCGTGAGTGAAGAAGGCTGGTGTGTGATGGTGTAGCGTCACCCCACACACGTGAGGGCTGGTGTGTGATGGTGTAGCGTCACCCTGCACTCGTGAGGGCTTGTGTGCGATGGTGTAGTGTCACCCTGCACTCGTGAGTGAAGGCTGGAGTGCGACGGTGTAGTGTCACCCTGTGCTCATGAGTGAAGGCTGGTGTGAGATGTGTCACCTTGCGCTCATGAGGGCTGGTGTGCAATGGTGTAGCATCACCCTGTGCTCGTGAGGGCTGGTGTGCGATGGTGTAGTGTCACCCTGCGCTCATGAGGGCTGGTGTGCGATGGTGTAGTGTCACCTGCGCTCGTGAGTGAAGGCTGATGTGCGATGGTGTAGCATCACCCTGCGCTCGTGAGGGCTGGTGTGCAATAGCGTAGTGTCACCCTGCGCTCGTGAGGGCTGGTGTCCGACGGTGTAGCGTCACCCTGTGCTGAGGGCTGGTGTGCGATGGTGTGGCGTCACCCTGCACTTGTGAGTGAAGGCTGGTGTGTCATGGTGTAGCGTCACCCTGTGCTCGTGAGTAAAGGCTGGTGTCCGATGGTGTAGTGTGACCTTGAGGATTCAAGTTAGATGAGAAGTTACAGAACCAACACAAACTAGCTTTCCGTAAGGATAGGGGGTGTCAGGAGCCTAGGGGGGACTCAGCCACCTGGCCTGGCTCCTGCTCAGCCCTGATCTGCACCCACCGGGTCAGCATATGTGCTGGGCGGTGGCCTGAAGCCCCCATCCAGCTTTCTCCAGCCTGTGTCCAGCAGCCCTGACAGGATCCTTTATCAGGTGGGAAGGGGGCACTTCCAGTGGGGCCTGGGTGGCAGATGTGGGTCCGAAATCCTCTGCCCTTGCTTTGCCTCTGCTCCTCGGGCCACTTATTTCCCAAGGTTCTGGCCTTGAATGGGAGAACCAGGGGCACCAAACGTAATTTGATTCTGCCACAGCCTCTGGATGAGTGCACTTTGTCCAGACGGCATTGCATGCTTGTGGCTATGGGACCGCACCCTGCCAGTGCTGGAAGTATCCTTCCTGGCCCCTGCTGGTGCCCTCACCACCCCACTGCTACGGTCTTCCCCAGGGAGAGCACCATCTGTCTCACCACGTGGTGGTATCCAAGGGTGCACACTGTTCAGCACAAGCAAGTGCTGCCCATGTTAAGGAGTTTCCAGATATCCCAGCCTCCTCAAGGACGGGCAGCCCAGTCCTGCAGGTCCAGCCCCAGCTCAGGTGGAGGGAGGCGACCCCGAGCCTGCACCACAGTGAGCAGCCTTCCCCTTAACTGGTTTTGCAGAGGAAAATGGCTATTTTGCATAGGGCCTGTACCAAGTGTGGACGGGTTTTTTCATCATGGTACCGTTCTTCCATTAATGTCTAAAGGGGTCCAGACACCGTGGCCTAGCATTTTGGGAGGCTGAAGTGGGTAGATCACCTGAGGTCAGGAGTTTGAGACCAGCCTCATCAATATGAAGAAACCCCATCTCTACAAAAAATACAAAATTAGCTGTGTGCGTGCCTGTAATCCCAGCTACTTGGGAGGCCGGGGCAGGAGAATCGTTTGAGCTGGGAGGCAGAGGTTGCAGTGGGCGAGATCACACGACTGCACTCCAGCCTGGGCAACAAGAGTGAAATTCTGTCTCCAGAAAACTAAAACCAAAAAAAACGTCCAAAGTGGCCAGGCACGGTGGCTCATGCCTGTAATCCCAGTACTATGGCAGGCCGAGGTGGGTGGATCACCTGAGGCTAGGAGTTTGAGACCAGCCTGGCCAACATGGTGAAATCATGTCTCTACTAAAAATGCAAAAATTAGCCGGGCATGGTGGTGTATGCCTGTAGTCCCAGCTACTCAGGAGGCTGAGGTAGAATTGCTTGAACCCAGGAGACAGAGGTTGCAGTGAGCTGAGATCACATCACTGCACTCCAGCCTGGGCAACAAATCAAGACTCCATCGCAAAAACAAAAAACAAAAAAATGTTAAATGCTTCAACTGTTTGATTCATTTAACATTTTTGAGCAGCAGAGCTGCGGTCCTAGGCCCCAGGGCAGGAGTGCAATGGTGACAATCTGGGATTACCCCAGAACCCCTCAGATGTGGGCTTCTCCTCCCTTGCCTGACACGAAGCCCCCACCCGTCCGTCTGCCGAAGTCTGGGAGAGCTGAGGTAGAAATGTGTTGTTGGGTTTGTTTTTAAACTAATTCTGTTTGCATTCCAGAAAATATTTTCAGAACCCGGAAGCTTATCCATGGCCACTGTCGCCAAACTCCGCGAGAGCTGCAGGGCCCGCCTGCTGGCACAGGGGTGAGAGCGCCCGGCCCTGGGTTCCGTCTCCAGGCTGACGACGATTCCCCTTTGCAGAGTTGACACTGGACCAACTGTCACTGCTTTCCTTCTTATCGTTGTAAATGCTTGATGTCACTACACTTTAGTTGTGAATTTTTTTAAAGAGAAGTTTAAAATCAGGTCATTCTACCAGCTTTTGATGATTAGCTATGAAGTCATACTTTTCTAAAGAAAACTTATTTTTACCCGAAGACATCAATAATTTATAAAATGTGAATGTGGGTATCTAATAAAGTATGCCAACACCGGTGAGTTTGTGATCAGTTTCTCGGCCCACTGGAAACTAGAGTAGTGAGCGATCACTGTGGCCTTCCCAGCAGCAGCATAAATATTCTATTGCTTTCTGTGGAATGGTGTTCACTTTATGTGAGGCTCCTGCGTGTGTAGGTGATTTCTCTTTAGAAAGGTAACTTTTTTCCTTCAACTTTTACGTCCTGGGGTACAGGTGCAGGGTGTGCAGGTTTGGTGCACACATCACCCCGTCACCCAGGCATGAAGCCCAGCATCCCTCAGCTCTTCCTCCCCTACCCTCCCCGACAGCCCGTGTGTGGCTTTCCCCCTTGTGTCTGAGTGTTCTCATCCTTCAGCTCCCACTTACAAGTGAGAACATGCGGTGTTTGGTTTTCTGTTCCTGCATTAGTCTGCTGAGGATATGGGCCTCCAGCTCCATCCATGTCCTGCCAAGGACGTGATCTCATTCCTTTCGTGGCTGCAGAGTATTCCATGGTATCTATGTATGAAAGGGAATTTTTAAAATGATTTAAAAATTATCACGACACGAATGAACCAGACAAGCGTGCCGGATGTAGGGAACAGGGTTGCAGTGGCCCGAGTGCCTTGGCACACTGGGCCCCGGCCGGAAGGGGGCCCCGCTCCAGGCCCTGAGCCTCCCTTCCCTCCCCTGTCCTGTCCCGACAAGCTGTGCTGCCTCCTGGGCATGCTGACAACCCTGCCTGCTGCCTCTGGGGCTGAATTTGAGGCCAGGCTGAGCCGTGGGTGGGATGCCAGGAAGGCACAGACAGTGTGAGGGTGGGGGGCGGACAGGCTGCCTGCCGCCGCTGCCCGAGCTGGCCAGTGCCCTCAGCAGCGACTTGAAAACTCCCCTTGGCGTCTCCAGGTCTGTGTCCATCTACAGCAGGTGCTCCTTGCAGACCCTGTCCCCGCTCCTCCCAGGAGGAGGCCGGCCTTCGCCAGAGCAGCACAGCCATGGCAGCCATCCTGAGAGGACGTGGCCTTCCCATGCCCAAGGGACGATGCTCACCTCCTATATGATCACGCTGCCATCTGGGCCCTTCCTCACCTTGAGCACGAGGCAGGCGCATGAGCCAGGAGGTACCCCTTGCCCTGAGGACATGTAGCTCCAAATGTCCCAATTCACAACTCACTACCATCAGGGCAGACGCCACCCCGGCCATCAGTCACCACACCGCTCTGGGGCTCTGGAGCCAGCCCTCCTCCTCCTCAGCCAAACACTCAGGGCAACACTTGGGGTTGCCAAGGTGCCACTGTGTCACGCAGTGCGGACATGGCGCCCTGTGCCCCGCCCTCTGGCCGCAGTCCCAACACTCCAGCCCCAGCCAAGCACCCAGAGTCTCCTGCCAGGGACCATGCACGCTGCGGTCCAGGCTTGGATAGGACAGGCTTGGCACCGTCTCTGATGTCACCCACCTCTGATGTCACCCGCTTGTTGGGTTTGGCCCGGAAAGATCTCAGGAGTGACTGTGCCTCCCCTGGAAGTGGAGCCAGCTGGTGCCTCCGAGGCAGAGCTACTGGCATCACCGGCCCGGTGTCAGAGCCTTGCCACCTGCGGGGGCCATACTGCCGGCTCCACTGCCATGCAGGCCCAGCTCCCACAGGGGGATTTCCCGGCTGGGTCTGGGCCCTCCAAAGCCTTCCTTCCCCCTCCAGACTGCTTTACTGCAGGCCATTTCCCGAATGCTCTCTTATGATGCTACAATCCTAAAACATCTGCAAAGGGCTGACGGGGGCCTACTGGGGTCAGCAGCAGGAACCAGGAGCTTCCCATCACTCCCTGCACTGTTCAGACCCAGGATGAGTCTGAAGAGTGCTCTGGCCCACTGCTGTGGCCTTCACCATGCTAGGCACCTGCTCCCACCTGGCCATTCCTGCCCCAAGGCACAGCTCCACTGTTTGAAGCCTGCTAGAAGAGCACGTGGTGTGTGGCCACCTGGGGCCTTACCCACTCTAGTTCTTGAAGCCAGATTCTGGGACGTGGTGCTGAGATGCAGGTTGGAGCCTGAATTCTAGGGCCCCTGCTGTGTGTCCTCCCTCACCAAGGTCTACAGATCCTGATAGTGAGGTTTTGTTAGGCTTGAGCTCCTGCTCTGAAGGCTCTCAGCACAGCCACCTTCGTCCCCAGGACCCAAGAGGGCTCCCCATGTGGCCTGGGGGAGGGAGGCTGCCTTTTTAAAGGTGATCTGATCTCCAGAGCCTCAGGTCTGAACACAGCCACTTTCCATCTTAAACTGGGGAGCCCTGATGACCATGTTGGGGGCCTGCACTGATCTCCAAAGGGCTCCGCCTCGGCAGACACGAAGGGTGATGTTCTCACCCGTTCCTGCCCCGCTCCTCACCTCCCCCCACTTTTATTGTGACAGCATTCTTCAAGACATGGGTGGGAGTCTGCCTGGAGAGACCACAGCAATGGTTGTTGCTGTGGCCAAGTTGTCAAAACCAAAGACGGATCCTGAGACATCCAACTACCTCAAACTACTGTCTGTAAGAACGGCCACGCCAGCTCTCCCAACACCAGGCTGTGCCGAGATCAGCCTCACCCCCATTTCCCTGACGTCCTCTCCCTGCACCAAGACCGGCCTCACCCCCATTTCCCTGACGTCCTCTCCCTGCACCAAGACCGGCCTC